CAGTCAGGCTTAGCTAAGGCAGAAGTGATTGTAACTAAATTGGACTTTACAAAGCTAATGTTAGTTCTGAAAAAATCGAGTCAAGGAAATGTAAACTTTACTGATATGATCATATGCAATTTGGCTAACAGCAGGGTCGTCAAGGAGTGGAATGAGACTAAAAATAAAGGAAAGGTGGATGCCTCTTTCCACAGGAACGTCCGCTTTATAATAGCGGATGCAGGGCTGGGAGAGTTAGAGTTACTTGGGGTGCTATATAAGCCACCAGATACTGCTTCAAACTCTCAGCTGTTCCAACTCTCCTTCCCTGAGTGGGATTTTCAGGAGTGGAGCCTGGGTCCCTTTTAGTCCCTCTGTACATGTGTAAACAAGGCCTGCATTTTACTTACAGGTCTCCATCCTGAGCTCCCTTCCAAATCTACTGATGTGATCGTATGATTTTTGTTAGTTTTACTATTGGTATGATTAGTTCCTCTCCTCAAAAATACTTCATCTTATTGCAAAGGTTTTCCAAGGCTATACCAGTGAAGCATAAGTTTTTCTGATAATGACAAACTTTTGAATGTCCTACCCACATTTCTTAATCACTGACTATCTAACTTCCCTCTCTGAACCAAGGGAAAGATGAGTAAATACACACAGTTATGATGTTTCTACCATTCAGACAATAGGATTCAGCAACACACTAAGAGTACCTAAATGTTAACCACAAGGAGTCAAAAAAAAAAAAAAATGAAGATGGGGCTAAAGCAGATAATGAAATGTGGTAGGAGAGGAGAACCAAGACCCTCCAACCTATATACTAAGGGATGAGGGAGCAACAAGACCCCAACAGCACTGACTCCTCTTTCTATGAAGTTTTTGTAGCACTTTGTTCTTTTGCCATACATAACACTAGGCATCTATCTAGGTGGATTATGAGAAGATTTAGGAGGTGCTACATGGCTCAGTGGATAGAGTGCTAGGCCTGGAGTCAGGAAGACCTGAGTTCAAATCCAATCTTATATACTTACTAACTCTGTTTGCCTTAACCCACTGGAGAAGGAAATGGCAAACCACTCCAGTATCTTTGCCAAGAAAACTCCGTGGACATTACGGTCCACAGGGTCACAAAGAGTCGGACGTGACTGAACAAATTTTGCACGAGAAGACCTGCCTCTCCTTCCTTTCCCCAACCAGAATGGGGATGGGGGTCAAAATCTTCACAGACCACTTAGATAGATCTCCACCTACTGGGCCAGCTTGGAGATAGAACTTTGTCTTCTAATCACTACTTACTTCCCCTCCCTTTATCTCCTTCTCCCAGGATTAGTGAGGGATAGAGGAAGGGCCTAGTTTACAGCTACCCTCTCTTAATGAGCTCCATGATGATGGATATTTAGGAGCCTTTGGGCTTTGGGAAGTAAATGTCCCAGATCCACACAAAATCTACTCCCTGCTTCTGGTTCAAAGGGTTCAAAATGTTGTAATAAAGTTTGTTCTCCCTGACCACTAGCCAGAACGTGAGGTCTTAGCTTATATATGGTGTGAAATATAAAAACTGTTCAGAACTGCGCTCTCTGCACACACACAGTCAAAGATAACATCTGCATGACAGTGAACAGGACTACTCTTTAAGGGACACATCATAAAAGCTGTCTGAGGGACTGGGTAAGGAATCAGAGGTAGACAGAGAAAGTGGACAAGAGAGAACACTCCACTCACCACCTAGAGCTACCGCTGCTGAAGGATGAGGGAACCACGATGAAACTTCCGATCATACTGTTCACTCAGTCCCATCACACCGCCCCTCTATCATACCGTCCTCTCAACAGCTTCCCCCAGTCATATGCTTTTCCCAACTTGAGTCATGGTCCTCCTCCACCTCCTCTAGTCCTACAGACCAGTTACCAAATCCTGCTCAATCCCTTCACAAATTAAATTTCCCAGGATCTTCACATGAAAAGCAGAATCTGTCTACCTCTCAAGAAGCCTATGATAGATACTTTCATATTGTTACTTATGTTCAATTAAAAACTCCATCTTATTCATCTGTGCCTTCTCCATAATGCCCAGCACACTCTGACTTAACCAATTTATTCCATTGGTTTCCCCACGCCAGGAGTGACTGATTCGTCCTTTAAGCTCTCACCTTATTCTGTACTTTGTACCTTTCTTATCTGCTCTTGACTCTGTTTTATATTGTACTTACTCGTGTGTGCTTTGTTTCTCTCTATTAGATTCTAAATTTCTTGAGAAAGATCCATAGTGCCCTGATACAGTAGAAAGGGTGCTGGTCTTGAAGAAGAATCCTTGGTTTGGACAATTACTGGTTGTATGAGGAAGCATCTAAAAAAATCATTCTACTACTCCAGTAGCACATTTGTAAAATGACAATAATATTCTCACTTCCTACTTCACAAGTTTAGGGATAGGTGCTAATTGTGATTTCTTTGGCATAAGAAATTTGTGGATAAGGAGATTCCCATCCACTAATACAGGTTGGCACCTTCATTAGAATTGCCGAAAGTTCTGAGAAGTTAAGTGATCATTTGCCTAGGGTCACACAGCCTGGATGTGTCAGAGTTGGAATTTGAACTCAGTTCTTCCTAGCCACAAAGTCAGTGCTCTACTCTCTACAGCCTACACCACAAAGAGTATGGGTTCCTAACCTTTTCAGTATCATGGATTCCTTTGGCTGTCTCCTGAAATCCTTCTCAGAAATGTTTTTAAATGAATACAACAAAACACATAGGATTACAAAGGAAACCAAATATATTGAAGTAAAATTGCATTTTTTCCCTTCAAGTTCACAGACCCCAGGTTAAAAGGCCCTGACTGTGAGGAAAATGTCATATTAAAGTGAAATGAATAATATTTCTTTAATATTTTTTAATAATATCTTTGTTTTTGTTTTTCCCTCAGCACCAAGTACAAAGCAGGAGCTAAAAAAAATGTTGAATTCAATCAAGATGAAGACCCAAAGATCTGAATCACTAACGATGGGATCTCAGGCACCATTTTAGGCTGTGGAGAATATTCTGAGTGAAATACTGAGTTGAGTATCTTCTGAAATCATTTCACAGAGGCGACCACCAACTCCGCCTACTCAAGGAAGCCAGATCTAATGAGGGGCCACTGGGGGTAGAGGCAAAAGGATGAAAACAGAGGCAAAAAGGAAAAAAAAAAAGATACAAAAAACATAATGGCAGATACATTGAGACCACAGGGGATGTGACTTGGTGGGTTGAGGAGGGGGAATGGAAACACAGACTCAATTTAAGAGAAGTAGGGAAACAGCTTCAAGGGGAGTAGGAAGGTTTCCCCATGCCGCAGCCTCCTTTTGGGGGATAGGGGCTCCAGAAAAGCCCAGCAGAGACCAAGAGAGAAAGATCTGGCTGGGGAGCTAGTTAAGATTTCTAATTGAGAGGGGGCTGCTCTCAACACCCCTACTGACTCATGCTCTCTCCTCCAACCTTCTCCAAAACCAAATCTATCCCTGGGTTATTAGGAAAAGGTAAGAAAAGAATATAATGACTCATGATGGGGGAATGATCTCCAACTACCCAGTAGGGGAAGGAATTCCAGGCATGGAGAATAGCCAGTGAAAAAAGCTCTGAGTCAGGAAATGGAATATCTTGTTCCAGGAACAGCAAAGAGGCCATGTCACTGACTTGTGGAGTAAGTGGAGAGAAAAAGGTGTAAGAAGACTGAGAAAGCAGGAAGAGATCACATTATAAAGCACTTTAAAAGCCAAGTAGAGGATTTTATCTTTGATCAGAGGTAACAGAGAGCCAACGGAGTTTACTGAATGGAGGGGAAAGAGAAGGGATTGTCAGATCCCACTTTAGGAAGATTAATTTGACTGCTGAGTGGAGGATGGACTATACACGAGAGAGATTTGGGGGAGCAGGCTATTGTAACTGCCCAGGAGGGAAGGAGGCATATACTTTCATAGGCAGAATTGACAAAACTTGGCAAATATTGGATGGAGGGAGGGTGGGAAAGAGTGAAGAGTGAAGAATGACGACTACATTGTGAGGCTGGGTGCCTGGAAGGATGGTAGTACCCAACACACAACAGGGAAGTCAGGAAGAGGGGAGGGGGGGGATAATGAGTTTAGTTTTAGACATGTTGAGTTTAAGACACCGATGAGATTTCCAGTTCAAGATGTCCAATAGGCAGCTGGAGATATGACTGAAGGTCAAGAGACAGAGGTTTGGGCTAGATAAATAGATCTGAGAATCACATGCATAGAGATGATCATTGAATCCAAAGGAGCTGATTAGCTCATAAAATACAATAGTATGAAGAGGAGAGCCCAGGACAGAACTTTGGACACCCATAGTTTGGGAGACACTCCTAGTTACTGAGTATATCCTGGATGAAGACCCAGCTAAGGAGGCTGAGAAGGAGCAGTCAGATAGGTAGTTGAACCAGGAAAGAACAGTGTCATAAAAATCTAGAAGAAAAAAAAAAGGATCATCTAGGAGAAATGATGAGGATTGAGAAAAGGCCATTAGATTTGGGGGTTAAGAGATCATTGTTAAATTTGGAGGGAGTAGTTTCAGTTGAATAAGACTGGAGCTAAGTGGGGGAATGTATATAGCACGTTGGGCCTGGAAGATGAACTTCAAATCCAGCCTCTGTCACTTACTTGCTGTGTGACCTTGGGCAAGTCACTTAACCTTTATCTGCCTCAGTTTCCTCAACTGTAAACTGGAGGATAGTAACAGCACTTATCCCACAGAGTTGTTGTGATGATCAAATGAGATAATATTTTTACAGAGCTTAGCACAGTGCCTGGCACATAACAGGCACTAAATAAATGTTTGTTCTCTTCCCTTCCCTTTTACTAAACTGTAGAGAATTAAGAAGAGGACAGAGGAAAGGAAGTAGTGGAATGATTGTATGTAGATGACCTTCTTTCAGAGTTCAACCAGAAAAGTGAAAGAAGATATTACCAAAGACATTGAGGGGCGGGGGGAGGGTGGACCAAGTAAAGGTTTCTTTTTTCTCTCCCTCTTTTTTTTTTAAAGGTAACCAGGTTAAATGACTTGCCCACAATCACACAGCGAATATGTGTCACATTAGCTAATAGGTCACATAGTCTAAGGTCAGATATGAACTCAGGCCTAGTGACTCCAGGTGCTCTATCCCCTGCACCAATTCGCTGTCCCCAAGTAAAGGTTTCTTGAAAATGGGAGAGATATGGACACGTTTGTAGGAGGTAGGGAAGCAGCCAGTGTGAAATTAATGAAAGAATAGGGATGAGAGAAGGGGCAGTCTGCTGGAAAAGATGGAATGGGAGCATGTGTGTACATAAAGATCTCCTTGGCAAGAAGGAGAGCTACCTCTTCACGTGAGGCACAGGTGAAGGAGATTAGCCCTGGAAGGCATCTGAGAAAAGTAAGACCAGAGGGAAGGAAGAAAGAGGAATAAACTATTAGCAAGTCACTTAATCCCATTGCCTAACAAAAACAAAAACAAGACCAATAAACCATGAGGCAAGATTCTCAGCTGAGAGGATGGGGAGGGAGCCAGGGGAGGTTTGAGGAAAGGTCAAAAGATCTGGAATCCCATGGAGAGCTAGACAGTGAATTGATTTAGGTAGGCATGAAAGCACTGCTTTGCCACAGTAAGGGCCCATTGTGATTAAGTAACAAAAATTGGTAGTAGACCCATTCAGCTTAGTTTCATATTTTCTCCAGCTTCATTCAACAGCACATGAATAGGCATGAAGGCAGCAGATAGTGGGAGTGGGTAAAGACACACTTCCCTTCCCCCCAAACAACATTGTGTTCACTGTATGTTCAAGGCACTATTAATCAGTGATAATATAAAGATTCTGAAACACATGCCTAAGAAGAGGGGTATGCATGTGTCGATGTGAGCACAGGCACGTACATATGGGAAGAAGCAAGCAAGGGGTTAAAGTGGGATCCGCCTTCACAGAGGTTCTCATCAGGACTGAAGATAGATACCAGGCCCTCCCTTACTGGTGCTATCATTTGTTTCTTCAGTGGCAGGGACTGATCTTCTAGGGGAGGGAGGACAGCAACTGCATTAGTTCCTTGAGAACCAAGCCTTAATATGAGTCCATTTTGTTGTTCTTCTCATGCCTTTTAACAGGGTTATAGGATTAAATCTAATTTTGCTCTATGTTCACATGCTAGTTGGAAGCTCACTGCATGCCTTGGGACACTGAATGAGGCTGGGGGAGTAGAAATGTGCCAAATTCATACATTTCCACGACTTGAGCCCTGAGTGGGATACATGAATGAGCTACACAAACTATTAAAAAGGTGCCCTCAAGATTGTGCCCCATCTGTAAAAGAGGTTGAGAAGCCCCAGTGGACTCATGAGAAATAGACAAAAGATAATAAAGTGTTTTGCAAATCCTTAGAGAGCCATGCAAACGCTAGTAAGTCACAATTACTTTGGGTCTGTTTCCTCATCTGTAAAATGGGAAGTCCTTCCTTGTTCTAAAGCTATGATCGCATTATTGTTCGGAAATTTGCCTGACATTTGGAACTATCCAAAGTTCCCCAGGCTGACTCAAGACTCAGTGATCTCTAATAAAGGAGAACACTTTAAGTGAAGCTGAATGATCACTTGTCAAATACAATAGAGGGGAGTCCTGTAAAGTTGTAGGGTTGCCCTCCAGTTGGAAGGTCTCTTCCATCTCTGTAATTCTGTAACCATGTGGAACTATGCATCTGAGAAAGGTAAATATGTCTATGTATAAGCCTCAGAGACAGAAGGGCATAAAAGGGTATACATGTGAGGGGGGTGTGTTAGTGGTACAGGAAGGGAGTGTCTCAGAAGAGAGCTCACAAGGTGCTTATGTCAGAGTTTGCCCTTTAGTACTCTGGTTAGCAGATGGAAAGGAGGAAGGAGGGAGGTGAGACTATGCCGGGCCCAGGGATGATGGGGGCTCAGTGGGCCATGAGAAAGAAGTGAGTCACATCAGGAGTCCTCATCCAGCACGGCTCTAAGCTGAAGAGAGCTCAGACTAGAGCAACAGAGAAGTTCCTCCTTAGCTATACCTGAAGAGGCAGGCAAGAGGAGGAAAAGGAGCTAATCCACCAGAACAATCCTGCACAGAGCAGAGCCAGAGATAACAGACGACCCGAGAACGGGAACCATGGTTCTTGGAACTTCTTGGTGGCTGTGGGTTCTGGGAACCCTGGTGGGACTTTCACCGGGGGTAATATCCAAGCTTCACTGCCCACAAGGACAGTACCAGGTGGAGCAAGGATCATGGTGCTGCCGACTATGTAATCCAGGTAAGAAGAAACTAAAGGGGATGGATAGGAGTGAGGGACAGAGAAACATGAGGGGTAATGGGGGAGGGAGCAAAGAGATGCAGAGTGAAAAAATATAAATTTCAGAGAGAAAAAAAATTGAACAGAGTAATTGACAGATCCTGAAGTCAGTGAGAGTTCCACCCCAAAGTGGGTAGCATTCCACAGGCCCTTAATCCCTCACCGGGCCCTCCACAGGCACATTCCTAGTGGGGGACTGTGATGGTGACGGGAAAGAAGCTCACTGTAAATCCTGTATCCCTGGATTCTCCTTCACCCCAGACCACCATGCCCAGCGCCAATGTGAGAGCTGTCGAATCTGTATTAATGGTAAGGCTGAAAGGGCAATGGAGCTGGGGACACAGAGCAGCAGAGTGAATGGGGAGCTGGAGAGGACATTACTGGAAAGTACGGGGGCTGGGGTTTCTGTAGAGTAGGGAGGCAGTGGAAATCCAGGTGTACTTTTGAGGGTGCAGCTGGGAGGAGATGAATTTAGAGAGGAACCCAGTTAAGGGGAAGGGAACAGATCTCAAGGCTTGGTGGAGATGGAGCTATAAGCCCAGTAAGGATGAACAGGGATGCTGAGACTAGAATCTCATCTCAGCTGTCTGTAGGGTCCTGGGTTATTTCACTATAGGGCCATACCAGGGGATGTTATGGGAGGGAATGATAAAGGGAGACCTTCGGGTGAACCCGTCTCCCTCTATTCTCCTACCTTGCCCTCAATCTTCCCCAGGCTTTCCAATTCAGAGGTGCAACATCACTACCAATACGGAGTGTGCCTGCCCTAAGGGGCAACAGTGTCGAGATAAGGAATGTACCAGCTGTGATCCCCAACCTACATACCTGCTGAGCACACCCCAGTATCCCCTCAGAAGTACACATCAACATCCTGCAACCATACACCAACACCCTACCAACACCCACTCAGCTTACTACTCTGGTAGGCTTCATCCGGACGGCAAGCCTCCTCAATCATCTCCTTGATGGGACAGGCATGGGGAGGGGTCTTATGCCCCCAAAGGACTCTGCTATGGAAGCATCTCATTCCTGAGATCATCCATGAGTTACATCTGCTTCCTCCACTTAAATTCATACCTTTAAATCCTACTGACCCCAGAATAGTCTGAGAGAACAGTGTTGAGGACTAGTGGGGATGGGGGAAGGAACTATGGGTGTGGAATGCTGCATACATCGTCATATGAAAGTGCTTTGTTGTTCAGTCTTGCTTAAGTGCTTTTTGTTAAGTTGTTAGAAGGAATCAGGGAGGTAAGGAGGGTGGAGGAGTGCATATCATCGTTTTCAGTTAAGGATGTGACTCCTACATCTTAATTTTTGCTTTTGTCCCTTTTTGTTTATACACTAATCTTTTTCATTCTTACATTTTCATAAGAAAGCTTTAATTTTTATTTTATTTTATTTTTTGGCTAGGCAATTGGGGTTAAGTGACTTGCCCAGGGTCACACAGCTAGTAAATGCCAAGTGTCTGAAGTCAGGTCCTCCTGACTCCAGAGCTCTATCCACTGTACCACCTAGCTGCCCCCACTTTTGTGTGTGTGTGTGTGAGGCAATTGAGGTTAAGTGACTTGCCTAGGGTCTCACAGCTAATGTCAAGTGTCTGAGGCTGGATTTGAACTGAAGTCCTCCTGACTCCAAGGTCGGTACTCTACCCACTGTGCCACCTAGCAACCCTTAATTTTTTGATATTATACCAAATTTGATATTTATTTGATATTACCTAAATTTGGGTTAAAGGAAGATGAGGGGCATATTTGAGTTGATCGTGTGCGTATACAACTCAAAGAGGGTCTCAATAGGAAGATTTTCCTACAGAGGGAATTTTTGGGAGGGTGAGTAAAATAGTGAAATGTTTAAAAAAAAAATAAAAAGAAAAACAGGACTCTCAGTCTTATACTCAAAGCCAAAGCCAGAGAGGAGGAAAGTAATAGGAAGAGATCCCTTTCATTATCCTATCTATCCTCTTTCTCCTTAAAAAAACCCAACTGATAAAGTTATTGAGGCAGGGTACAGGACTGAGGATCAAGTGCTCTTCATTCTTGTCTCCTCTCCAGAGACTGCTGGCACTAGTGCCCCAACAAGACCTGCCCAAAGCCCATGTAAGTTTTATCACCAGTCCTGAAGATCCCCCATTCCTGGGCGGGATCTCAGAGAAGAGGAGGTGGGCATCTGATCTGACAATGTGGGGGACCAGAGTGGGAAGTAGCAGTGGGGGGTAGACCCTCCGACAGACCCCACCAGTCAATCCTTTGCCTATTACAGCAGGAACAGTCCCATCCAGCCAGGTCAGCATTTACATCCTCCTCATCCTCTGTGGATTGATTCTGACCATCTTCATTCATGGGACTTGGCTTATCCTGAAAAAAAGAAATCGTCAACTCAAAAAGGAACAAGGTACCACCTGAGTACTAGGGAACCTGTTCCCTGCCTCCAACCTAGCTCCTTTCCCTTGGCACTTGGCCTCCTGCCTCATTCACACACTGTATCCCACCCAAACCCTGTTGCTATCCTCCTCTTGTGCCTCCACCCTACCATTCTTCCTCCTCTTTTCCTGCTTGGGCTTTACCCTCCTCTTTCAGCTTCTCTGGTTCTCCAATTCCTGTCTCCTCAAAACCTTTTAATCATCATTCTCTTCTTTTCTCTCATCTGCCTGCTTCTCCTTTCTTTTCTCATCTATTTTTTTTTTCACTTTCAACCTCTGTCCTGCCTTGTTTCCCTCTGCAGACAAGAAAAAGCTAGTCAAGTTCTGCCTAACTGGATCCAGAGAAGACCCAGGCCCCTGCTGTCCAAAGCAGGAGGAGGGGAACACGGTGCCTATCCAAGAAGATTACAGAAAGCCTGACCCTGCCTCTTACCCCTAAGCCAGACTTAGCAAGGCATTACTGACAGGACAGTATTCTCTACCCTTGGCCTGGCTCCCGGCATGACTACTATGAGTGTGGGAGATCTGAGAACCCTCCCACTCAACCAACGCCTCCTAGGAGCCCTCCACACCACCCCGACCAGGTGTCTTCCCCTTCCTTACCTAGAAACTTCTTCATTTGACCTTACGCAACAGTGGAGAAGGGTGTCGAGGAAAAAGGAGAATACATGTTGGGGTGTGGTAAGGCTAAGGAAGATTGTGGTGAGAAGCAGAGAGCACTTGGTGTACCCTGTGGGCTCAGAAAGGTGGAGAGAGTTCATATATACAAATAAAACTGTTGCACTTCTCTGGCTGAGGAAAATCAAGCCCCAACTGTTTTATCTGAGATAGAAAATCATCAAATTAAGGAGAGGAAATATAAATATGTGCCCCCTCCAGTCTCTTAACATGAAATGCTGAGATCCTTAAGAATTTGATGAATCAATTCCCAGGCTGCTCCCCACTATTCCTCAAAGTCACCTCTCTCCATACATGAAGTTTTCTCTGCCCTAGAGGGTATTTATTCAGGTTCTGATTGGGGGATATACTATACTGTACTAAATCTAACAACAGAGCATCCCAGAGGTAATGGGAAAAACTCCTAAGACCCTTAATTGCTCAGTCCAGGACCACGTCCTTTGGCATTAGTACAGCCTACTACTTATTTCTCCTGCACGAAGGAAGATAGTCACTAACACATTACGGATGCGAGGACAGAGAGGAAACTGATGGTATTGGAAGCAATGTCACTGCCTCAGAGTGAACGTGGACTGAAGAGTACTATCTAAAAGTGGGGCTTGGGAAAGGATGCCAGGAAAGTTGGCTCTTTCTCAGGTACACTGGATGGCCCCACTGACTTCCAAAGGCTTCTCCTCTGCCCTGTCCCTAGCGAAAGGAGAAACTTTTTAAGACTATCCCAAAAACTCCCCATCCCTAGAATTTCTCTGCTGCACATCACTCGGAAGAGCCCTAAAAACTCACCAATACCCCTCAGTTCCCCATAACCAGTCAGGCCAAAGTCTAACCCCTTTACCTCACAGATGAGGTCCAAAGAGTGCCCAGGATTTTACAACTAGTAAGTATCTGAGGGAGGATATCAACTCAGGTCTTCCTGACTCCACATCCAGTGCCCGTTACTCCATGCAGGGAAGTGCTACCCATCTTACCAAATACAGCAAGTAGGTGATTGAGAGACCTCTTGCTCTCCTTATAGACCAGAGAGAAGACTATTGCTGAGGGCATAGCTTGGGTCATCAGGAAAATTCAGGTGCCTGTGAGACAACTGTCTCTATGACAATGGGAATCCTTGGGGATGATCCTGAAGGGGCCATCTTGTAGCTCAAACTTAACCTGCCCCCAGACTCTGAGGGTACAAAGCCAATTGCAAGCAGTAAAGTGTAAAGTATACTGGAGAGGTACACATTTCACATTTATCATCTTCAGTGGCCTAGGAGATGGGTCTCTTCTACCTTGTCCAACCTCCTTCTAGAAACCACAGAAGACGGAAGATTTCTTAAGGTCAGTTTTAGAGCTAGAAGAGACTTTTAGAGGTCCCCAAGTGTGCAATTTAAGAGTCTTTTTTTTCTTTTAAGGCAATTGGGGTTAAGTGACTTGCCCAGGGTCGCACAGCTAGTTAAGTGTCAAGTGTTTGGTCTGAGGCCGGATTTGAACTCGTGTCCCTGACTTCAGGGCTAGTGCTCTATCCACTGCACCACCTAGCTGCCCCCTTAAGAGTCTCTTAGAGAGCTCCCTGTCAGTAATTGGTAGAATGAAACAGTTCATCACACCCAATGCCCACAACCCTTCAGCCTGGCTTTTGAGTCAGCTCAGGATTAGCCCATGTTACCAAGTTAGACTTTTCTGAGGAAGAAAACACTCAGCAATGTATTTTTCAGCTAGCCATAGATGAGAAACCCTGCTGCCTCCTCCTCTGTTCCCCTCTCCCCTATCTGCAGCTGTTTCTCTATGTTTCCAAAGGTACGTGATTTATTTGGCTGCAACTTTAGGCATGGTGGAGCAGAAGGTGCTCTTCAGAGTACACCTGGGTAATTCGCTCTGGAAAAGCTTCTGTCCAGGAATGAGGACAACACAGATCTCTTGAGGATGGAAGGTTGCTTCCAGTCGTGCCAAGGAAATTAAGTGTATGACAGAGACTATCTGCAGATGCAATGTCCAGTCAGTTTCCTGTCCTCATTTCCACCAGCTAGTACCTGCTTATGGCTGAACAGCTACAGGACTCACAATGAGATATTAAACATAACATGGAACACAAGAGTGGAGAGCAATTCCGTTGCCAACATAGAAGGATATCTTTAATCTCAATCAGAAGAGCAAATAGCACAGAAGCACCAGGGCTTTAACCTATAGAGAAATCTGCCCCATGGTTGTACCCCGCCCTCAGTTTAGGCCAAGTCACCCAGAAGCCATCAGGTTGGTGGTAGGAATTTGTATTTTTTTCTTTTTTCAGAGTACACGAAATTGGTAAATGTGCTACATGCCTTACTTGGAATACAATTGTTATTATTTTATACAAGTACGAGATTGGAGGAAGGGCAAGAAAGACAGAGAGGGGACAACAGACACAGTGAAAAACCCCACAATGGCTCAGGACAAACCGGAAGGGATGGGGGAACATGGGGAAATCTGCTTCATTTGGCTGGAAAGTCCTGGGTGTACAACAGCATTTTTGCCCATGCATGGGGATGATAGCAAAGAGACGGAATCAGGTCAGGGGGCAAGAAAGTAGGAGGGAAGACATCCTCCCTGACCCACCCCCCCAACCCCTCCACCCCCCCCCCAACCCCTCCAAATAAAGCCAACCTTGGAGAATCTATTCTGGTCACTAGAAGGGAGCTCTTTGCCACAAAAGAAACCCAGACTGCAAAATCCTTTGACAAAGCGCTTAAAGTGATGAAGAGGCTGGGGCTTAGTGAGCCCAGGGGGCTGGTTTGCTCCTGGCTCTAGAGGCAGCGAGGACAGTGGTGGTTCTTCTCCAGCGGTGTCCCCCCAAGAGAGGAAGGCGCCCAGAGGATAGTGGAGACCTTCTTGGGGGAGACGTTGGGAGGGTACACTCATTGCTTCCTTCTAGCTCTTCAGTCCCACCACAGGGCAGGACAAAGGGAGTATGGAAGTAGGCAGGGGTTGGGAAAGGGTGTTTTGTGTTTTTGGTTGTTTT